TGGGGCTACAGGGAGACCCTGTCTCAAAAAGACCAAAAAAAAATAAAAAATAGAAAAAAAAGAACATTTACAGATGCTGTAGCTCACTTGAGTTCAGGAGGTGAAGATATACCTGGAACACAACAAGACCCTATCTCAAACCAAACAAATGAGAATGTGGACATTTTTAGATCAAGGCATGCAGCTGGAGATGTAGCACAGTGGTAGAGCACGTGCCTAGCATTCACAAAGCCCTGAGTTCCATCCCCAGCAATGGGTTAGACTACCACATTACCATTGAGTAGGTGAAGGACTATGCCTTTCTTTCTGGTTGTAATTCTCAATTCTGGAATCTTTTGGAGGAACATAATGATAGCTTGGTTCACAGGCTCTCTTCCTCAACAAGTCAAGTTGAGCATGATAAAAATCATAATGTCCACAAACTGCAGCAACTTTGGGAGTGTCTACCATATTTATCTGGAAGAGTACAAACACAGAAGATTTTTCAAAAGTATGTAACTTAAGTCTGTAATTGACAGCTGGTAACCACAAGGAAGACAATGCACTGTAGGTATATTTTTGGTTATTTTATTCTAGGCAGGAGCTCTATGAAAAATGATCTAGAGGCCACAAATTCTGGAGGTGAAAGATACTAGAAGTCTAAGCACCCATAGCACAGGAATTCGTGTTTACCAAGGCATCAATATGAATGATGTACACTTCCTGGGTAGTGTGTAAAAGTATTTATCTAGTGGTATGCCCAGCCAAGATCTAAATCTAAAGTCATACTTATTGCTTTATATTTTTCATAAACTTATTTATACTTTATACTACTCTGAGAGAATAGATGCTATCATGTGACTCACAAATTTAAGGATTTACAATATTTGTATTTTCCAATAAACTTAGCAGATGCAAATTGGCATCATGGTTTCAAAAGAAGGAGATGCTGAGTCACTGAGAATCATTCATCCCCCAAAACAAGGACACACACCAGTTGGGAAAGTCATGTCACCATCCCAGTGACTCCTTCATCCCCAGCCAGAACAAATGGGAGGAGGAGAGCTGAGGAGACACCAACGAGCTGGGAGACAGGACAGTCATCCGGGCCTTGTACTGAAGAGCAAGGTATCTTGGGTTTAACATGAGACACACCAACTGCTCCTACTTAACATTGCTAATGAAAGCGAAAGACCTCTGACCTGAAAGTTAGGAATATGAACAACCAAATGATTGAAACTGAACTGTCCTCACTGTAAATATGTAACGCATACATTCTTTGTTCTTTTTAATGTTATATGGTGCATGTGCATACATGTAAGATTTAAGCAGATGGAATTACAAATATTAGACCACCTTTAACCTGTAAAAATGGCGTTTTCATGTAGTTTTCTCCAAATGCTAAGGTAAATGCATTAAAGTTTACTTATCAGTCTAAATATAAAGTATGTGTTTATTTTCCTTGTTTTTTATTTACTTTTATTTTATGTGTATGAGTATTTTATCTCATGTATGTAAGTGCACCCATGTCATGCAATGCCTGTGGAGGCCAGAAGATGCCATCAGATCCCTGAAACTGGAGTTACAGATAATTGTCAGCTGCCATGTTGATCATGTGGATGGTAGGAAGACAAACCCCCAGGTCCTGTGCAAGAGCAGTCAGAACTTTTTTTTTTTTTTTTTTTTTTTTTTTTTTTTTTTTGGTCTTTTTGAGATAGGGTCTCCCTGTAGCCTCAGCTGGCCTATAACTCACTTTGTAGAACAGGCTGGGCTGGAACTCAGAGATCTGCCTGCCTCTGCCTCCCAAGTACTGGAACTAAAGGCATGTGCTACCATGTCTGGCTTCAGCAGTCAGTACTCTTAACTGCTGAGCCATCTCAACAATCCCATGTTTATTTTCTTCATCTTATTTACTTTTTTCCTTTTTGAGAGGGTCTTGCTATATAGACCAGGCTGGCCTAGTCTTCCTAGGAATTACAATTGTGTAGCACCACTCCTGTAAACACAGTATTTCCTGTTGCTATGTTACTCAGTACTCCTACACCAAAAATAAATAAAGACATATCAATAAAAATTTAAAAATAACATTTATGGCTTTTAAAAATTAACAATTAGCCGGGCATGGTGGCACGTGCCTTTAATCCCAGCACTCAGGAGGCAGCGGCAGGTGGATCTCTGAGTTCAAGGCCAGCCTGGTCTACATAGTGAGTTCCAGGACAGCTGGGCTATAGGGAGACCCTGTCTTAAAAAGACAAAAATAAATAAATAAATAAATAAATAAATAAATAATAAAAATAAATAAAAAAAATAACAATTAGAATGAAATACATTTTAATTCTCACAGCAAAATGGCTTTACAATAAGTAAAATATACTAGGGAACTCCAAATTAATTAGCTTGTACCATATACACATGAGCAGGCAAGTCTGTTAGGAGATTCCAGAACTAAAAAGACAAAAACAACAACAACAACAAAAAAAAAAAACCAAAGTAGGGTAGAGGACTTACTATGGGCTTCTGTGCACCACCTGGTGGTCGCCACTCGTGTCTGTGTCGCACCTCCTTCCTTTGAACTGGCACTGATATCCTTGATCTTGGTGGGCACTTTTTCTGGAATCTTACTCTCTGTATTTTATAATCTTATTAAGCCAAAATAAAACAAGTTTAAAGAAAATGTCTACATCGTTAATTCTGACACCAGAATACGGACTTAGGCTGTACCTAATCAACAGTAAGTGTGCTTTAGATGTTTATATACGGTAAGAGAAACAATGACGAAATACCACAAAATATTCTTTTTAAATACAGAAAATGATCTTTTCAGTATTCTTTTACGTATGTCTAGAAATAATTATATTTTTATTTTTATCTATTTTTATTCATTTTATTTTTGAGAAAGGTTCTCATGCATTTCAGGCTGGCCTCAAACTCTACATGTAGCCAAAGATGACCTTAAACTCCTGATCCTCCTGCCTCTGCCTCTTGAGCACCAGAATTCTAGTTGTGCATGTTGGCCTTGTGCATGTTAAGCAAGCACTCTACCAATTGAGCTCTACATCCCCAGTTCTGAATAACTACTTTTTTTTTTTTTTTTTGGTCTTTTTGAGACAGGGTCTCCTGGTAGCCCCAGCTGTCCTGGAACTCACTATGTAGACCAGGCTGGCCTTGAACTCACAGAGATCTGCCTGCGTCTGCCTCTCGAGTGCTCAGGGTCTGATGATGCAGCCTAGGTGAGCCTAGACTTGTGATCCTTTTGTCTCAGCTTCAAGTGCTGGGATTACAGGTGTGTGCCACCCATACTCTTAAGAACTGAATTTTTGTTTTTATTATTTAATTTTTTGTGATGCTGAGGACAGAAGTCAAAGTCCTGACCATGCTCCGCAAGTGTTCTACCACTGAACTGCACTCTGAGTCCCCAGTGGATACTCTTTGATCACAAGGTTAAATCATTCTTACCCTGGGCCGCCTTCCTAGCAGGTTGTGAGGCCAATGGTCGTGTTCTGCACATGAGTGTGTGACTGAATTCTTCTCGAATGACCTAAAATCAAATATATGCCTGAAGGACTTGCCTCTGAAACCTCTGCCAAAATTCAGAGTTGCCTCCAAACCTACCTCAGGAGATAAATATCGGCCAATAAGAGTTTCTAAAAAAGGCTTCTTCAGAATGGAGTTAATAGATGGTCGATCTCGAGGAGACACTTTAAAGAGCTGAGGTATGAAGGACTGCAGGTCATGAGAAAACTTGGGTGATATGGGTACAAAATGCGCTTGACAAATCTTCAGAACCAGATGGTGTAAGTTGTTGCCCTCAAACTGAAAGGAAAGGGTAATTATACCACATCAGAGAAAAGCTACATACAGGACATTAAAGTGACAAACACACCAGAAGCAAAAGCTGTCTGTCTGTCTGTCTGTCTGTCTGTCTGTCTGTATGTCTATTGGCCATCTATCAAGGTGCTGGGCATTGACCCAGGGCCTTGAGCACCAAGGCAAGGCAAGTGCTCCTGAGCTACATCCCCAGCCCAAGAACATTTCAAGCTGCAGTCAGAACAGAAGCATATGGTCTGCCCTATATTGTCATCAGCGACTAATTCTCCTAAGTAGATAGAGCAGACAATTACTTTAAGAGATGCTGTGTTACTTAAAACAAGTTTTATACTTTTTATTTTTCCACTTTGCTTTTGGTTTGGGTGCTGGCAATTGAATTGAGGTCCTTGCATTTGCTAAGTATGAGCTACATATCTAGACTCTAGTTTTAATTTTTTTTTTTCATGGAAGAGTGTGAATGCAGTTCCCCACTACAACAAATTACGCAATTGAGTTTCCTGAATTTGGGGAAATTGCAGGAGTCAGCACCTCCCAAGAAAATCACCTTCCTGTCATGGTGTCTCCCCTGCCAGGTAAGTATAGTTTTAATTTTTAACTAAAAATGTTTCCTTTAGTTTTAATTTTTACTATCAAAATAATATTTACTTATATTTATAAGTAAAGGAGCCAGGGGTAGTGGTCCCTGCCTTTAATCCCAGCAGAGCCAGGAAGATCCCTACGAGGCCAGCCTGGTCTACATAGTGAGTTCTAGGCCAGCCAAGGTCACACAGTGAGACTATCTAAAAACAAAAAACAATTCAAAACTTGGCAGGTATAGGAACTTATAAACAGGAAAAGGTGTAATTTCACCACCCAGAGTTATAGTTCCTTCTAATCTTTTTAAGAATGTTTATTTTATAGAGTTAAGGTCATATTGACTCGAAATTTTACTTTTTCAAACACCATAACATAAATATTTACTCATAAACCTCTTATCAAGTCTCCCATTGTAGGAAAGCACCAGTTATTTATACATAATAACTTTGAACAGCCTGGTGTAGCAGTAAAGTGCAGGTATTGGTCCGACACCAGCCGTGTGGCCTTTGACACTAACTCTAAGAGGAATAATGATGCAACTGCACAGACAAGAGCTGACAGCAGGCTGTCTTTGGAAAGGCCTACTTAGGGTGTTGGCTTTGTACAGTGTCCTGGAACCTGAAATTTGAAAAGAAACCCCACAACTTCCTAAATGTTAAGAGTAGCTCTCTGCATAAGATATTTGTGCAGTTAATATGGTTTATGTTGACATATGGTTTGTTGCTGGGAATGTGGAAGTTTAGCTGTATCAGGCAGATGATACCTATATGACTTCCAATAAATCATGGAGAGTAGGTACCCAGTGAATTTCCCTCGCAGACAGTATTTTGCACGCCCCAATACATGCTACACATACTGTCCTCCAACTTGGACTTTTGACTTTCTACTTTATAGTATTACCTGGACATCTTTCTATGTCAAGACATGTCATTAAAAGCTTTTCATAGAGAAATGTGTGTGTGTGTGTGTGTGTGTGTGTGTGTGTGTGAGAGAGAGAGAGAGAGAGAGAGACAGACAGACAGACAGAGAGACAGAGAGAGACAGAGACAGAGAGAGAAACAAAGAGAGACAGAGAGACAGAGAGGAGAGAGAGACAGAGAATATGTGTGTGTCAGGGACTTGCTATGCAGCACAGGCTGGCCTTAAACTCTCAATCCTCCTGCTTCCAACTCCTGAGTTTATTTTGTTGTTGGCTTTTTAAAAACAAATTCTCTATGTTGCTCAGGCTCATCTTGAATTCCTGAATAGCAGGGACCACAAACACTTGAACTATTCTTGCTAGTCACACTTTTTTGAGACAGAATTTTCCGGTAGCCCCAGCTGGCCTAAAACTCTCTATGTAGATCAGGCTGGCCTCAAACTCTCAGAGATTCTCCTGAGTGCTGAGATTAAAGCATGCACCACCACACCCGGCCTATCCATATAATTTTTAAACAACTGAATAAAACAAAATATTAACCTTTTTCTCTTAGAAGTTAATTTCACATATGTGATTTCAGTAGTTCAGGATGAATCTGATGATCAATATACTTACAGGATGCTTGAGTGTGCAGAGCTCATACAAGACACAGCCAAGAGACCAAATATCCCTAGAGAAGAGAAGTGTTTACAAGGCCAGAAAAATGTCCATAATTCTTACATTTGTACATCTTACAATGCTTTATGTGTTTATAGCTTCATTTCATTAGGTTTGTCAGTTTGTTCAAGGACTTTCAGATATACTATCAATTTGAGGACAGGAGGTAAAGTAAGAGCCACTTGTAGTTTTTCAGAATCCTAGCAGACAATAGGTATACAAATGTTATTACATTCTGATAGCTCAATATTTACTTCTACTTACTGTGCCCAAGGAAAATGTGTGTATGAGGGAATTGGTGCAATTTTGAGGAGAGAGGCAAGACTCCAGCGCGGATTTATTTTTACTCAAAAGATAAAATGCAATTGATTTTGAAAGGTAAATTCTACTCAAGGATCTTGGTAAGCAAAAGTTACATTAAGCAATGAGCATAGCATTTGGTTTTCAATAAACATTAGAAAAATGCACTTACAAGATACAGGCTGGTGGCACACACCTTTAATTCCAGCACTTGGGAGGCAAAGGCAAGCAGATCCCTGTGAGTTCAAGGCCAGTCTGGTCTACATAGCAAGTTCCAGGCTAGCCAGGGCTATATAGTGAGTACTTATCTTTTTTAAAAAATGGAGCTAGATGGGGCTGGAGAGATGGCTCAGCAGTTAAGAGCACTGACTGCTCTTGAAGAGGACCCGGGTTCGATTCCCAGCACCCACATGGCAGCTATGAACTGTCCTTAACTCCAGTTCCAGGCGAATCCGAAGCCCTCTTCTGACCTCTGTGGCATTGCATGACATGGGTGCACTCACATACATGCAGGCAATACACTCATACACATAAAATAAAAATAATTTTTTAAAAATGGGCCTAGAGGCCGGGTGTGGTGGTGCACGCCTTTAATCCCAGAATTTGGGAGGCAGAGGCAGGCAGATCTCTGTGATTGAGGCTAGTCTGGTCTACACAGCGAGGTCCAGACTAGCAGGGCTACACAGTGAGACCCTGTCTTAAAACAAAACAAAACAAAAACAAAAAAACTATTTCTCCATACATTTCCTAGTGGGATGTGAGTACTTGTTTTGTTTTTTTGTCTTGTGGGGTTTTTTAGACAGGGTCTCCCTCTAGCCACAGCTGACTCAGAACTCTCTATGTAGACCAGGAAGGCCTCCATCTCACAGATTCACCTGCCTTTGCCCCACCCCCACCCCCTGGAGTATGGGGATTAAAGGCATGTGCCACCATGCCCAGCTCTAAAGCCTTAGTTTTTATGAGTTACATTTTGTATCTTGTTGACCACTTTGCTGGACTCTGTAAGTGTTATGATGTTTTTCTTGTCACTTATTCTGTATTTCCTGGTTGGCAAACGTATCGTCTACAATTGACTTATTTTTAGGCTCACGCAGAGGCAAGTAAAGGCTGGCTGAGAGAGAAATTCACACAACTCAGATTACTCCTTGATGAAGAGGAAGTACTGGCCAAGAACTTCATCGATAAGAAGACACAGCTTGCTCTCCAGGATTACAGCGAACAAGTGGAGTCTTGTGGGAAGGAAATTGAAGCTGTGGATGATCTGTCCAACAGGGTTTGGGCCATCAGCCAGGAGTCCAACCCTGTTCAGCTGCTACAGGTACAGCTGTGGTTCCTGATCTTACATCCACCTCCCACTACCCACAAATCCACCTGAGTTACTGTGGCATTGAACATGGCATTTACACACCAGACACCTGCAGAGAAATCTCCCTGATCAGTGTGAAGGCTTTCAGAGGATACACACACTGTTAGAATAATATATATCCTTTTAAAATCTGTTACATTTATTTATTCAGGTGCACATGTGTGAGTAATGTAAAGCTCAGAGGACAACCTGTGGAGTCAGTTTTCTCTTTCTAGGGGCTAGAGAGATGGCTCAGCAGTTAAGCGCACTTGCTGCTTTTCCAAAGGTCCCGAGTTCAGTTCCCAGCACCCACGACAGCAGCTCATAATGACCTGTAACTCCAGCTCCAGGGGATCTAACACCCTCTTCTGTACTCCATAGACATCTGTATATATGCACATACGTGTGCGCGCATACACACACACAATTTAAAATAAATCTAAAAAATACGAGAATGAAAATGTCTGCTACCATATTCTGAAAGGAGATTGTTATTCTTCTTCTTGTAAATCTCTACCACTTAGGCTTTCCTCCCATTTATCTCTTACAAGGCCAAGCAGCCAAATAAGCACTAGTATTTCCTAAACAAATGGATAATTAACTCCCAAAGGCAGCTCAGTCCTCCTTCTAGTTCAACTCCTCCAACAGAAGTCAGCTTTGGAAAATGGTAAGTTCTTCCTTCCCTTACCTGGAAAGAACTACCCCATCATCACCTTTTATTGCCATATGCATTGGCAAAAGACAGAATTACAATTGAGGCTGAAGCTCCCAATTAGAGTTCTTTTTGATTCTAGAGTCATGTAACATTTTGTTCCATAAAACAGAATAAGAAACAAATAAATAGTAGGGCTCAGTGGAAGATGTATGTTGTGTGCACAGGAGGCCCTGGGTTCAATCCCCAACATCAGAAAAAATCTGTAAAAAGGGAGCCACTGAGATGGCTCTGCTGCATGATCTAAGTTCAGTACCCTGAATGGTACCCATGCAAAAGTGGGAGGAGAAAACAGACTGTGCTCTGACCTCCATACATGCACTGAAGCACACACATGCCCATCACATGCATCATATATACACACAATAATAGAAAATAAATCTTTTTAAATCTAAACATAAAAATACAAAGGTAGACACTATAGAAACTTCCATTTTCAATGATATTCTTTTTTAAGATGCATTTTTATTTTTAATTAGATCTATGGGTACATGTGTCTGTGCATGGGTATGTATACATACATGAGTGCAGGTGCCCCCAGAGACCAGAGACATTGAATCTCCCCAGAGTTGGAGTTAAAAGCAGTTGTGAGTCACCTGACCAAGTGATGGGACTCGAACTTGGGTTCTCTGCAAGAACAGTGCATGTTCTTAATCACTGAGCCATTTCTCTAGCCCCAAGTAATGTTATTTTTTATATCTTTTTATATATTTAAATGAAGAAAAATTGCTTTGCCCTAAATAAATTTGTAACTTTAGGGAATACTGGCCAGTTATTCACTGGAATCCTCTTTTCATACACAAAGGAAAGGAGAATGCACAAATACCAGAAGAAAAGAGGTTAGAGCTGCAGCTTCTGAAATCTTAATTTGGTACCACCCATCAGATTTGACTGACACTTTCAAACCAAGAGCAACTCACGTTTTATTGTTGTATGGTTTATTCTGACAGATCTCCGGGGACAGGTAGTAAGGTGTTCCAACACAAGTTCGAGCAAGTTCCATGGAACTAGCAAATTAGATTAAATAGTAAAATATATGGTTTATTATTGGAATAAGAATGGCTGAAGATGTGGGTATGCAAGAAAATTGTAAAAATAAATAACAAGATTTCATCCATGCACATGGAAGAAAGCAAGACATGTCATATAAATAATGGAGTCACAAAACCAGTAGATTTCTAACCTTATAATTCAACCCTCAAATCTATACATTTACATATATAATGGAGACAGAGAGTGAGCCAAGCTTGGTGGCTATGCACCTATAGTCCCATACTGAGGAAGAAGAGACAGGAGGATCAGGAGCTCAAGGCTAGCCTCAGTACATAACAAAGTCAAAGCCAGCCTGGGCAAATGAGACTCTATCTCAAAAATTACATATACATAAATACAGACATGTGGCATTTACTATGCAAAGCCACATTATGGTTATGCCTTAATAAAAAAACAGCCTGACTCAGCATCATTTAAAGGCCCAGAGTGGACCCAAACTGCTGAGAACCTGTTCCTTCAGATTTCTCTTGGAACTGTGCTCTCAATCAAGGGCTTCACTCATTCTTTTACTGAAACAGTATATCTAGCATGAAATGGGAAGTAAAAGTAGAAATGTCCTATCACAGAAGAGCTTTGCCCTTTTTGAGTCCCACTGATTTAGAATAGCACACAAACACAACCATCTATTGCCTGCAACTCAAATAGGCTCATTATCCCATTTTCAATAAGAAAAGTGCTGTGGGCAGTGCTTTGATATATAAAACATATATATTCATATTCACTATCTTGGGAGGAGGGCAAGGAAGGATCATGAAGGTCACAAGACCAGGTCACACTAGGAACACATGGCTCACTGAGATTGTCTACGTTATAAACAGCTAAGATAAGCTTAACTTTTTGGTTGCAAGGTTAGCTAAAAGTCTTTTGTTCAGAGTATGTCCATATTATAAAAGTCATTTCTACATAGACATATATTTTCTAAAAAATTTTAAACATACGCTAGGGCTAGGTATGGGGCTCGCTGGTAGAGTGATTGCCCTCTGATAGAATGATGAGCACTCAAAATAATAATAAGAAACTAATAATAATAATGACAAGTACAGTACATACATATTATGGCTTAAAAACTCCACAAGGACAG